TGATTAAATGTTGTCTTTAAAATGTCACTTGTCGTAGATTTTTCGCCTAAACCTAACTACCTACACTATAATACTTACTCTATACTCTAGCGTGCCTATACATTGACGTTAGCTAAGTTCACACTTCAGCGAGTCCAGGGGCGGATCTACAGGGGGGCAAGGGGGGGCAGGTGCCCCCCCACTCTAGAGCCTTGCCCCCCCAGCTGCCCCCCTAACTTTGATGATCCAAAAACTGTACTTGTAAAAACAACCTGCCACTATGTCCACAAGCTTCTCAAAACAGTGAGCTAAACAATACATTTACCAAAAGTGAACAATTTAATTTTTAATTTTTAATATATTATTAGCCCCTCCCCCCTGCGTCCCTGATTCAAACGTGCAGAGCGGACGGCGTTGTTGGCGGCTCACACACTGTACACAGCGAGTCTGCTGCGGTAAGGTGGCCCTGCAACCCGACTGGAGCTAGAGTGAGCTTCCCCAGAGCCTCTGAAGGTGAAGTGAGTTTCCTCAGGTGTAGTTTAAACACACACGTTTAACTTAAAGTTACATTTGTAATGAATGTATTGTATACTAAAGACGATTCAGCATCAGCAAAAACAGCGCGTCTATTATGTTAGCCAAAATCAGCGGTCAATTCGCTCCCTCGTGATTTGTAAGAGCACTCTTCCCTTTGATTAGCCTAATTTTGATTTTAGTAAAGACAAGAACAGCTTAAGGCGAGACACAAAAACATCGGGGTTTTTTTCACTGGTTAATTTTAAGATTTTGGGCTATTTGTCTTCAATAACATGTCTTCTTTCAGACTTGTGGTGAAAAAAATTTAAAAAAAAAACACTTTTAGGACTTTATTTTACTACACTTTGTCTATTTGCGTCAGTAGATTTCTCCTAAATTCAACAAAAGTTGTCAATGTCATCACATACATCTCCGTTGGAAAGCTCTCTCTCCTGTACATTGTTGTCGTATCCAAATATGGTCATTTCCTTTTAATCAGCAACCAATCGTGAAAGTACAATGGGCATTTAACTCTAAAACCGAAATCTCATTGGCTGATGTCAATTTCTGACAACGTGATTCGTTCAGAGATGCATCACGTGACGTGCTCTGACATTTAGATCAGAGCCATATAGAGAGAGAGTTGCGACAACGGAAGTTCTAAATGCTTGGTTGTCACGTGATTCGCGTAGACCTCAGATAGTTCCAGGAAGTGCTTCGGCGCCAATTCAAATCGATGGAGGTAGAGAGAGAGCTGAACTGTGATTTTTGGTAGTTTGTAGTCAATAAATGCGTTGGTTTACAATATGTATATAATACATTGACATTTGGATGTAGTATGTATATGTAGTTACAGCAATATTGTTTTTAAAAGATAAAAATCTGCTGATATTTAATGTTTATTGTGGTCAACCAGTGTTGCCTGCCTTTGTTAACATATTTTCTGGCTAACTTTACCTTGGTTAAAGACCGTTTTGCAGTTGTTTTGAAGTATTTTTGTGTTCTTAAACTTGTATGTTATTTAAGGGTTATCATGTAATGTTCACTATGGTTTCACAAGGACAGGAGACTTGCAGGAAACAGGTGATTGTCTTAAAATGCCATTGCAAACAAGTAAAATTGCATTCATCGTAATGTTTACAATGCTTATGCACTTATTACTATATAAATGAATACATATTTCATTTTAAAACAAAACATGATTATACACACATACATTATTTTCTAAGTGTCCAAGTACATTATTTCCTTAACATAATTTGATAAATTCATGACATACATCACTTAAATCTATAAAACCTATTTAGTTTAAATTAATTTTTAGTACATTTAGATAATACATATTTTATGTTTTGTTATCTTAAACCCCCCAAAATGTCAGGTTGTGTAACTGTCCGCACAAATTAACAGACTAAAATACTAATTTAAATGGTGTTTTAATCATAAAAAAAATAAAAATGAAATTCTATGGCATCATTTTAACCTTTCATATAAACAAATTTTATACATTTCAGTAGATTTATAGCTGATAATTGAAAACCTTTTGTCTAGCAATTTGTATGTCGGGGGGGCACAACTGCAAACATGGCTCTCTTATTATGGTAATTGCAGTGTGCATGATAATGCATTGTCCAGAGGAGCCATAATGATCCTTTTAGATCTCTATCAAATACTGGTAATTGCTTTAAAGTTATGGGTAGGTTGGTACACTTTCAGGTGAATTTAAACACTTAGAAATGTTCACAACTGAAACTTGTTCAAATACATTGTTCATGACACAAAAATATACATTACATCAGTTTTGAAAAGATTTTAGACTTTGTTTATTTGTCAATGACCTATATATACACTTTTGCACTGAATTAGCACAATGGGATTTATAAATGTCTAATAAACTGCACGTCAAGCATGTTGTCTGGCCTTTCCTCTATGTTGTCAGACACAGAAAATATGCTCAAGTCAGGAGCAATCTAAATAGAACTTGTGTGCTAATCATACTTAGGTGTATCTGCACTTTTTCCACAAAGACCAACACTGGGAAGTTTAATGATTTTTATTAAAAATAGGGAGCAAGTAAAGTCTTGCAAAATCCAAGGAGCTGAGACTGATGAGGGTACAGCGTCAGTGCAGGAGTCTTGAGGATCCACCGAATCCTCTTTGTGCTTCTTGTGTTGAAAGAGATAAAGGAAACAAAAACGGGATAAATTATATATAGGAGTTAGTATATAATACAGTTATGGTATTTATAATACCCCATTTAGCCTAGTGTGATTTGATCTAGAACACGGCTTGCTGCCGTTTTAAGCATGTTTTTAATCTTACTTATAAACTTCCATCTCCCTTTCCTATCAATACAAATCAGCTGAGCTAAATCATAATATAGACAGGTAATAGTCAACAGAAACACAATGAATAAAAAACGCCAACCATACGTTTTTCCTTACTCAAATATGACATCTAAAATAAGGATTTTTCCCCGTTATTGCACATTTAATATGGATTGAAACCGATATTCTCATTTTATCAATTACAACTATCACACTCCCCAATGTTATATTTAACCTCTGTTTAGAAGTATTTCCCTCTTATTACACAACAAAGGATAAACATGCATTAATAGAACGGGTTTAAACATTAATATGCTGTTCGTGGTTTGTTATGCGGTACTAACTTTATCCAATGACCTTTATTTTACCTGATAACGTCCCCTAAAACTACTAATTTAGAGAGCAATAATCAACTAGCATGCTTTAATACAGTTAAACTTACAAGTTAATTGGATTCAGATGTACTGATAATATACAATCTTATTCTTTAAACGTCTTACCTTTTAAAAGTGCATCACAAACGGTCTGTTCTGCTCTAACTCTACCGCGCTGCTGCTACTTCCGGGAACTATTGAGAGGCTCCGCGAGCCGCCATTGCTGTAAAAAACCGTTCCATTGGAGTCAATGGAGTTGTCGCAACTCTCACTCTATATGGCTCTGATTTAGATATGCGTTTTTGACTGTTTTTCTGTTCAGTTGAAGGCCATAAATGCTGTGATTTAGGTGGTTTGTATTGTTGTTGCTAATGATTTGATAAGATATTGTGTCTGTAAATAGTTGTTTCCACTAAAAAAAAGTATGAATTTTTACATTACAAATCTTTAAATGCTGTTTTCTCAAAATTAGTTTTTTGTCAATCTCCAGTACAAACATCTCAGCCTGTGTAGCACCGACCTATGTACACCAAACTTTCCAGTTATTCATTTAGCAGTATTCTCTATTCTGAAGATATTTTCAGAGGGATTTGTTAATAAATCATTCCTAAAAACCTTTGTAGTGTGTAAGGGCATGATTAAACAATAATGTTAATCATTTAATAATGATTAAAAGTGTTTTTGTGTTTGTTTTGTTAAAGCAATTCACATATAGGGATTCCCATGTACCGTCTACCCCTGCCACCCTGCCAAGACCTCTTGCCACCCCTTTGCCCCCCCATGTAAAATTTTCTAGATCCGCCACTGCGCGAGTCTCCAGTCGACTACAGCCGAGGCTAATCCTATAATTCTAATTTACTTGTTTTCTTGCTTACTTGCTAACTAACTTACTTCCCTAAACTGACCTGCTGCGCAGCAGGAATAACAGACAGACCTCAGCAAATGTCCTCTAAATGCTTTATACGGCCGGGAGATCTTTCCGAGCAGTTCTCAGGAAATCTCCCAAAAAGAAGCAATAAGCATGGCCGGTGGATCTCAGACAAATTCCATTGAGAATCCCACCAGTTTACACGAATACAACAGTTTTTATAGAATATATGGCAAAAAGACATGATACAGTACATAATTTCCCTACAATTTGATTGGTTCTTCAATCACAAGTTTTCAAACCTAGACATATGTCTAGTTTAATTTCCCATATTTGTTATTTTTTTACACTCAACAGGGGTATGGCAACATAGGCCTACAACATTCAAAAACACAGAACGGAACGTTTTAGTACATGGTGTTTCAAAGTGTTAGCATGCTAAATGAGGTTAGATGTTAGAAACATGGTTCGTTTAATATACAGTTAAAAATATCCATCACACTCTCAAGCAACATTCAGAGCAAACCCACACCTGTGCACTTTGCTCTCCCTGAGCTACAGCGACTGCACAGTACATGACGTCCATATAAAGCACTGCTCAAAGCCTCTCTCTTCAGAACAACTGTGTGACGAGTTCTCGCTGCCTGACAGATACGTAAGTCGGTTTTCTGTCTAGCACTTACCCAAGGTCAGTGGACATTTACTAAATATTGTAAATGTTAATTAACATACTATTTCTCTCTGTTCTAGGTGACAAAATGACAGGTAACGTTTCTAAAATATCATGCACTTGCAAACTCTCTCAAGTTTCTGTACTTCAAATATTACAGTTAGCAATTAATCTCCATAAATTACATTTAAATGTAAAGCATTAAAAATCCATAATTTAATAACAACAATAATTATATTCTGAAGTCACTTGCTGATAGGATACAAGAATCCATCCAAGAAACAGAAACAGAAAAATTTGCTAATGCCAGTATTCTATATTTCTATTAGTATTTGCTAAATATCTGACTGATAATTAGGCCCATTACATGTATACATTTATTTTCATGCAGTCCAAAAACAACATGATTTTTATTTATATATTTTGGGCTATTCAGAATGTACAACACTTTTCGAAGTGGTGTTTGTCTGCAATATTCTGATTTTGATCTTCAGTGGAGTAGTGAACATTATTCTATGCGAACGGCTGAGGAGAAGAAAATGTGAACTGTGTGCTGGTGAAGTACATTTTAATTTTTAAAACATTCAATAGATGTTAAATAGCAGTGTTACACTTTAATGAAGTGTTCATTCATTTATTCCTTCATTGATTGATTAATTAATTCAATCAATTCGGTCTTGTTTTTCTTTACCATTATTTAATTTGATCCCCTTCTTGATTCTTGCAGCACATCAGAGAAGCTTTCATTCTCTGGCTGTCCCTCCTCAACCAAACTCGCCAGCGTCTGATACCAGTAGTCATCTTGTATGTCATAATATCTAATATGTTTAATTCATTTAATGCATTTATAGACAAAACACATATTTGTTTTTTCCCCCTCACAGGATCAAGAGAGTACGGAGCTTAACTACACAATGCTACAGTTCCCCGAAGACAACACAAGAACAGAGAACTCAGAGAATGAGCAGAGAGAGAAGAGCAGAAAGGACACAGTCTATTCCAGCCTTAAATGTCAAATCTCAAACATCACTGAGGAAAATTAATATTTTCAGGTGACTATACAGAGATGTGGCCACATTAAACAATTTATGCATAGCATAGATCATGACTGTATTTATGATTTAGACATAATTACTTACCAAAGACTTAGTTTCACAAATGCATTGGTTTTCTTCATCCATGTCAGACTATACTAGATCTGTTATTTTTTTTAATTGGATCAGCTACTTTTTAATAAGTTTTTTTTTCATTTAATTTGTAAAATTACTTTTTAATATGTAATTAAGTAAATATCAGTAGTGATCCAAATGCTTGGCTGTATTCTTTTTTCTTTCTTTTTTTGTAACTAAACATTAAAAATATCATACAATATTTATAAACCAAGTGGTAAAGGCTAAATATTTGGTTATATATAGGCTGTACATTAATTATTAGGGCTATATATAATTTTATTTCAGACGTCAGCATATAGGCTAAATACACAAACTAATACAGTATTCAGTTATTATCACTATGGCCATATCAGGTAGACAAATCCAATGTCCATTTGGCATAATTGTTAATATTAAAATTAACGACGGTGGTTTTAAACTACTAAAAGTATCTTTTGGGATTTTAAACTTGAATACACATGGTTTGCTGGTAACCTACATTTAAAAAAGCTTTAGGCTAAAAAGTAGGCTAGCCTACACTAACCTGTTTACAATAAATGTCTGTTTATAGCCTTCTTGTTTCTTCAACCATGGTAAAATGCGAATTACGGAGACTCTAAAGTGACAAAACGTTAGCGTGCTCGTGCGTTATCATTTCTAGTTTTAATACTAGGCTACTTTTCAGATAAAAGTAACGAATTCAATCTTTGAATTTGATCATTAGTAAGTGTCAGTCAGCACTCACCTACGTCTACAGAAAACTATTTATCTATAGTAATTAACTTTGTGTTGCAGACGCTTTCGCTAATGTACTGTGTAGACCTGTCGGCTGATAGGAAAAAAGTGAGTTTACTATTTGAATAAAAATATTGAATAGATCTCAATGGAGTACCCCTTCTTCATCCAAAAAACAAGCATTATACTGCATTCAAATAAAACCAAACTAAATAAAACATTAAATTAAATTTAATATATTTGCTATATGGTTTGAAACAATTACATAATCATTATGGCAAAAGTGTGTCCATATAAGGACATCATCTAATGATAACCTGTGCAAGTTCTTATTGTATTAGATAAAAAAAAAAAAAAAGTAAATACTGTATACATTTCTGCTAAATATAACCTAAACAATTGATGTCTTAGAAATCAGGAATCAGATTTCAGTTTGGAAATAACAAAACAAATAGATAGCAAATTACATTTAAGCATTAAGATTTTTATGACCATGTGTATTTTGATAAGCAAAGTATTTGTCCAAGATTGATTAGTAGTCATGTAAAACAAAAATTGTGGAATGAAAGGAAAGATTCAACTGAAAATGTAACCATATAGGGGTGTAACAATATATCGTGCCACAATATATCGCAATACAAAAATGCAACAATACGTATCGTGGATAGTGACAATATGTATCGTGGATAGTTCCCCAAAATAAAAATTACTGTGTGAGAAAATGTTTTCATTTTTTCAGAGTTTTAGTGTCAGTACTAGATTAAACTACTTTACATGTTGATTATAATGTATAATAATGCAATGGGGGAATAATTGTGGGTCCTGATTGTTACGATTTGCGTGGAAGCAAAGGCAGTAGGCGGATCTAAATGCAGCAGTAGACTTTAGTAATACAAACTAGGGAAAACTCAGAACAGGCAAGACACTCGAAAATACATTCATTCAATAACTGACCACGAACAAAAGAGCAGACAGGATTTAAATACACAGAGGTGATCAGGGAACAAGACACAGCTGGGGCAAATCAGAACAACGAGCAGAGCCATAACAATTAACAGGGAAACACACCTGAACCAAGGGACCTAATAATGAACATGACTGGAGATAACAGAATACAATGAACAAGGCAGAGAAACGAGGTACAAACTGAATGAAAAAACCAAAGCCAGTGAACCACAAACCAGAAACATGACAAAAATAACCAACACTGTAACACTGATAATGCCAAATGTCTTATGTTACCAGTAAAAACTTAAAATGGCCTACATTACTTTAAATATATATAGTCAGTGACAGAGTGCAAGAATATTCGTCTAAAATAATTCTGTATTTTCAGCTTCAGAATCATGAATATTTTTATTCTGGTGTCACCATTGTCCTTGGGTTACAAGCACCAAGTCCAAGCCTATTCATCTAACCCACAATGTAATATCAAAGTTAGCATTTTAATCAACAGAACATTTTTTGTTAACCTTTTATCATACGTCTCTGAGTATCGCAATAATATCGTATCGTGAGTTCAGTATCGTGATATGTATCGAATCGTGACATGAGGGTATCGTTACACCCCTAATAATGAACCATAATGTCATAAAATATTGCATTCAGATGCAATATATATTTGCTTTAAGTACTTTACGTTGAGTTTCTCAGTCTGTGTGTTTCTAAACCCTGTCTTTTCTATCCAGAGCTCCACAGCACAGATTTCTGGCAGTTCCTCCTCCACAGACCAGGCTTTTTATTGAAGATCATCACCACTGACCCAGAACCAATGACCAGCCATAAAGCGCAGGCCAGTCCACACATAAGCTGTCTGAGATGTTATAGTGTTGTTATTTATCACCTCTGTTACAATGATCTTGGAGTTTAGTCTCACCACATCAGTGTGTGTTGTCTGCAGTAGTCCAGGGCAGCTGCACAATGTAAGCTGTAATGTAATGTATGAATGTAAATGTAATGGCAGCTGTCTGTAAGGGCAGGTGGGGCTCCAAAACAAATACCTCTATATAAACTGTATCAGTAATAAATTGTAAATATTTTCAGTATTCTATAATAAATATTTCTGAATTTTCTAGACTTTTATTTTATACTTAAAGGTGCACTATGCAGGAATTCCGTTTTTGTCAAACAGCGACCCCTAGAGTCGCTGTGGAGTACTTGTACTGTCGTAAATAGCACTCACGGCCTGATCCCCTCCCCCTGTACACCGGTACCTGTTCAGTAGGATGGAAGCTGTAACGAGTTGAAATAAGGTGTGGCCCCTTTAAGAGCTGCGCGCCCTGTTTAACTGTCGGCAGTCTGTATTGTATGTGCGCCTCGAACACCACATGTATACGGCAACGGGTTATTTCTGTTTGATGCTTATTTTATCAGAATTTTATCAGATCTTTTTTGCCGTAAAGCAATTCGTTACATTCGCGAGACCTGATATCACGCGACACTTCCTGATGCTGCGGCCGGCGCCCCGCCGGCTAAAAATTGCAAGTGTGTTTTTTCCGCTCACATGCGATAGGGGGGAGCGAAACGACCACCATTCAACCCGAAAAGAGTAATATAACCATTCCAATGACTCCGAAGCTGTTCGGTTGAGGTAAAAAACCTGCATAGTTCACCTTTAACTGGGCAGCGGGTGCCTGAGCCTCCCCAGCTCTTCAGCGCCCCACAATTTTCCAATGTAAATCTGTGGTGAAAAATGAAACTGCAGCGCGTTTTAATTGAGAGCCATTGGGGAAGATTTCAGACTGCCCCGCTTATTTTCACTTGACCTTCTGTACCTCTACTTCGCTCCAGAGCGATTTGTTGATATCAGTCCACTTCAGATATGTGTAAATTAGTCTGCATCAGGTCAGTGATTAGTTGGCATGTCTGTTCTTTATATCAAATTAATGAAAGTTTAAAGTACTAAATTGAATAGCCTTTGCATAGTTATGTTGTGTTTGTTTTATGTTTGTTCTGAGAATAGAAATTACTTTTCCTCACCAGAATTCCTCTACAACTTGTAACATTCTAAAACAACATTCTGAGGCAATAAGTACTGTAGGCAATTCAAAAATAGCATTCTATGAGTGCCTGTCAATCCACATTAGAGCGCCACCCTCAGGCTGAATAACGCTAAGACGTTAGACCTTTGACAAAAGTGTGTCTGCATGTCTTCACGGTTAGAATATAAAGCTTACAGTAGACTGTAGAATATAAAGCTTACAAAAATGTTTATCATAAACTACCGCTAAGATCTACCTAAATTTACGCTCAGGAGCTACTGGTCCAGGGCCTCCTCCCATGTCTTGTTCTGATGCACCAGAATGGGCTGTCAGGTGTTCTTGGGATCTCGCCTGAGAGGCAAATCACCTTTAAGTGTAAACAAAACAAGCCAATCGACATTGGCGAGTGAGATTTGCATTGTGAGAGCAGTTTTCAATAATGAGAGTACTTTTGCAAATACAGGGATTTGGTGCTAAAGAACCTTGGCCATCTGGGGCTTCGGGCCAATTGTGAAAAGAGCAAGCTCTCCCCTGTGCACAGAATCTCTTTTCTCTGTATGGCGTTGGACTTGGTCAACATGACAGCACGTCTCACGAACGAGCGTGCTCAGTCAGTACAGAACTGCCTGAATTCATTCAAGGGCATTCATTCAGTTCATTCAACTGTTTCAGAGGCTCCTGGGGCATATGGCTTCCGCAGCGTCATGCTGCTCGGGTTGCTTCATATGAGACCACTTCAGCACTGGCTACATGGCCAAGTCCCGAGATGGGTATGGTGCAGCATCATGCACCGGGTGGCAAACACACCGGCCTGTGCCCAGGCATGTTGTCTCAATAGTTGCCTCCACCACCGGCTGGGGTGCCATGTGCATGCAGCCTCGGGACCTTGACTGCTGTGACACATCAATTGCCTCGAGTTGCTAGCAGTACGTACTGGCTTGGCCTGCGCTGCATCAGACCGTGTCTACAGGGCAAGCATGTGCTGGTCCGAATGGACAACACCGCGGCCGTTGTGTAGATCAACAATCAGGGTGGTCTACGTTCCCATTTAATGTCGCAACTTTCCCGCCATCTCCTCCTCTGGAGTCAGAAGCATCTGAGGTCGCTTCGCGCCATTCACGTTCCGGGCGAGCTCAGTCGTGCAACTGACGAGCTCTCACGACAGCCCACGCTCCCGTGAGAATGGCGACTCCAACCCCAGGTGGTCTAGCTGATTTGGAGATGCTTCGGAGCCGAACAGGTAGACCTGTTTGCCTCTCCGGACATGTCCCACTGCCAGTTGTTTTACTCCTTGATCGAGGGGACCCTCGGCAGGGATGCACTGGCACACAGCTGGCCCCAGAGTATGCGTTTCCCCCAGTAAACCTGCTCACACAGACACTGTACAAGGTCAGGGAGGATGAGGAGCAAGTCTTGTTAGTTGCGCCATACAGGCCTAACCATATCTGGTTCCCAGAACTGATGCTCCTCGCGACAGTCCCTCCCTGGCGGATTTCTCTGAGGAAGGCGTCCGATGCTAGGTCTAGCACTCGTGTGTAGGAAGGTCAGCCCCTGTGCTAGACTAGGTGCCCATGTGTTGTGATTCTCCTACGGGAAGTGGTCTCCATAGCGTTCTATTTAGTATAGGCATGCTTTTCCAGTGTTATCCAATAATCTCTCTGTATGGGTAAGAAGGAGCAGCAGTGATCGACTCTCTCTGTGTTAAATCCCTGCCCTTTCCTCATCCCAGCAGGCTCAGGGGGATTAGGCGACTTACGCGGAGTGCTGAAAGGGGCAATTATGGCGTTTTGGTAGGAATCCCAATTCGTCAGTCACCTGATGTAACGTGAATTCTTTCGTTCTTTTATCAAGTGACGTGAAGTGACAACGCTGGACACAGAAATTAGTTAATAATTCTCAAACTTCCTTACAAACAAGCGCATAGTCATTTTTTTTTCTTAGCTCTTACACTTACATGCTGCTTTTTTGGTCTCAAATTATAGCTTTTTTATTTCTTACAATTTATAATTTTTAGATTTTCTGTCATGTTGGTTCTTTTCCATAACACTGAATGTGTTACTAAGACTTGGTAAACTTTATCTATGATGGGGAAAATCACTTTGATAAAGACACCTATATATAGCCTTATAACAACATACAGTTACGTGACATAAGACCGAACGACTCGAACCCGAGAGATGAACTAATCAATTCTATATCTGGTTCCGACTGCATAGCTTCAGCCTATGGGGCTGTCACGTGATGAACAAATGACTCAAACTCGAAGACTCAAAAAATGAACTAATCAATTCTGTATCCGGTACTGACTGCATAGCTCAGTTTATGTGGCTGCCACGTGATGAACGAACGACCTGAAACCGAAGTCGATAGACTCGAAACGTTAACTAATCAATTTGTAAGATAATCTCAAATAAAATCTGACACCAATTTCAAGCGATCATAAAACCAGAACAAGTATCATAATTTCTTACAAATGTTACACATACATTAAAAACAGTGCATTTGCTGACGTAAGAATCAAATGAAACCATTGCTAAAATACTAACCAAAGGTACCTTCACTATTAAACTCATGTTTATAAAACAATAATTATCTTGAGATATATCTATGCAAAGCCTATTTTATACTAAATAAAACATCAACCCATTGTAAAAATAAATTATTTATGTCTCATCAACCAGAAAAGATTTGAGCTAACCAATTGTTAAAAATGGCAATATGTTGACTCTATGCTAATTTGTCAGATTTAAAACTGTTAACAGTACATGAACATACATATTTTTTGTAAAGCAAAAACTAAATAATATTTGAAATTCTGTTTTCAAATCAGTGATACGAAATGGAAGATTGAGTTCATATATAACAAGTGGCATGGAAAGTTTACTTATCAGAAGAGAATACATATTTTAAGGGCATTTATGGCTTCTTAAAGCAGAGAAAATGGTGTCTTTCCTCACAGTCTGTGGGTTTCCAACCCTTCTCTTTTCTTTCCAGAGCTCCACAGCGCAGATTTCTGGCAGGACACTGGAGCTCCCCCTCCACAGACCAGGCTTTATATTGAAGATCATCACCACTGACCCAGAACCAATGACCAGCCATAAAGCACAGGCCAGTCCACACATAAGCTGTCTGAGATGTTATAGCGTTATTTATCGCCTCTGCCATAATCTTCTCAGAACTTAGACTCGCCAGGTCAATGTAGTTCTGTCTGCGGTAGTCCAGGGCTTCAGCCCACATTTTTTTTCTTATAGACCAAAATTGGGCCAACGAGCTCCATACAGTAAAATGTCAGCGTCTGAGAGCACAGAATATTGTGTAGTTTAGAAGTGGATTGTTTTAGCCCGCCACACTCTGCATTATCACTATTCGGTTGTCCACTATCCCAGTTGTCAATTGCTTCTACTTCACCTCCAGACCAGATCCATTCTCCTGGGTTGTTAGGGCTTATGTATAGTCCAATCCAGTTAAATTGAGATGTGAAATCTGTATACCTAGAGATCAGTTGTGCCTCTTCTTTATTAACAGTGGACCGGTCATCATGGTAATTTCTGCGGTACGTTTGTGCATCTTTCCAGGTAATTTTTTTGGTCACTAAAAAGTGTGTTCTGAGACTGAAGAGTGTGAAAAGAGAGTGTGTAAAGTGTGTTCAGTCTAAGACTCAAAACAAAGAACACTGCGACTGCAGCCTTCATTTCTATACAACCTTTTTGTGTGCTCAGCTATAATGCTATCACAAATCTCAAATTTGTTTCAAATGAGAGACCAATAAAAAAGGCTGCAAGGCATTGACCAATCAGAAGGCCACACCCTTCAAGAATTTGTGTAACAAATATTTAAAGAAATCATGTGCATATCCCCCAGCAGGTCAGCCTGATAAGCCTGAAGCAATGCCATAGTGTGAAGGCAAGCTCCAGCCTGACCTTCTGTCGTATATGCTTTGCCCACTAGAGAAGATGTTGTTTTTAATGGTTTAGAGGGCAAAGCTGGGACCTTCATGGATGATGCTGAACCGGGGGACAGATAGCTTGCGAGCGTCTGTTCCGCCCGGGGCATCGATCCATAACCATACTCTTTCAACCCCCTAATAT